GCATCTACTTTTATCATGACTCGTTTGCATGAGTCATCCTATGCTCTGTTTAGACTATCAATAAATCTTTCACTTTGTATACCATAACTATTAAAAGATGGTTTAAGAAAAGCAATTAATGCGTGGTCCAATGTTTATATTGTTTTATAATTTCTGCAGTGATTCAGACTGTTGAACCTCGTGGCTAGCAATAGGCTCATTTCTTACTACAACAGACTAATTTTAAAATTGATGAAAATTATGTACCTGCTGTCTTCCGTTTAAAAATGTAATATGAATGTCCTCAGTCATCTCGAAATCACTTTGCAATCACTTAAAAAGTGATCAAAATATTTCACCTTGAAACAATATTGAAGAAAAAAACCAGAAAACAAAAATATTTAAGGTCTTACATGCCTATCGTAGAATTTTCCTTAAATATCGAAATTATCCTTAAGAAACATAAGGTTTTATCAACAAGCCACTTGATCAATTGCATAGATATAATTCATGTAACACCAGTTTGGCATGATTTTACAGCTTCGAATGAGTAGGTAGTAGGCGCAATAAATAACATTGTCCACTGACTAATACAATAGACAGGCAGTCTGGTATTAAAATCCGGGTTCTCGCATTTAGCTATAAGCAAATACCGAGTTTAGTATAGTCTAATTATTTGTAGAATTACTTTAGTGGGGCATCTTTGGAAAGTATTTATTAAGGACTAAATAAATACCACGGAAAGGATTGACTAATTGATATTTTTCTTTTGTTTCTATTATGGTTTAGTGTTATTATTGTGTACCTTAAATTTGAAAAATAACACGTTCAATGGAATTTGGCGGTCATTATTAACCAGGCAAAATGAATAGATACATCATTCTAACAATACGTTTGAAGACTGTTAGGTCAGTTTGAGGTACCTGCATGGAAGACAATAAATAAACTTTTATCAGGTAATGAAGGTGTTTTAAGAATTATTATCTCGGCCACTACCCTCTGACCGGCATGCCAACGCGTTCCATTTTATGCCATTCGTGGTTTAGTCATTGCCGTTCTCGTAATCGGAGAGGTTAAAGATTATCTTTTTTGAAAGATTTTACGTTCCTCAGCCAATTTCCTTGTACAGTGCATTTATTTATAGTGTTTCTTTATTTCAAACTTAATTATTGACGGGGAAATGATTGTGATAACTCTTATTAAACGTGCTCTCAGGAAAATGATATGGAACAAGTAAGTAATTTTGGAATATTTCGATTATTTTTTTGTTAATTTCTATTCATTATAATTTATTTTAAATCAGTTTGATCGGCCAAAGTACTGTTGAGTCTATTTCAGTTTTTCGACATATCTAAGTACGTAGACATAAACTGCTCTTACATGGCGATAGAATCGGCACCTCAATCGGATTCACAATTAAAACTCGTAAAACGCCTGGCAAAAGTAAATGTCTTACCGGACATGTGCACCACTTTTAGTATCCCTGAATAGTAGATAATATTGTTGTATATATTAACTTACTTACCACATAGTATTAATTGTTATTACTAAGTAATTTATTCTAATAAAATCTTTTAATACCAGAAGCGAATTCCCTTTAAAGCCGGAAGATTGTAATTAATGAAGGTTAGTCGTGCCCTTGTTTATTATGAGTGAGGTCTGTTACTTGTACTGCAGGGCTCTTGGGGGTTACGTAAGAGGATATGTGATACGCAAGCAATATTCGTTACAAAAACATTGCTAGATTAGTGTCGTTAAATGGTTTTAGTTAGGAACTGACACCAGCACTTTAATTTTATCCAATATGTTTTTCTTCAATCGATTTGCGACTTTATCATAACACATTGAGGTTGAAAATGTATATAAGTGTTTATTGAACTAAAAATTATGTTTTATAAGGCCTTTAGCTTCTTGCCAACAATGGATTCGTACCTACATTTACCAAATAACACCTGTGTGTAAAGACAGCAAATAAGCAGGTGATAAAATCATTTCTTGCCACCATGAAAGGACAATGTCCATCACTAAGAGCTCTGTATTACCAAAAAGATTTTAGAATTTACAAAACATCCCTAGTTCGGAACTCCATTAAATTGCGAGTTTACATTAAATCCAATTTTCTGAACAAGGAAATAATTATCGTTCATTAGACTGTTGTCCAAATGGTGCAAAGTCAATGTCACATTTCGAAAGTATATATCGGCATGTAGGTACTCAACTCAAACACAAATAGGGAGAACTGGATAAAACCAGAATATTTACAAACTGGTTTTATCCAGTTACGACTCTTGTGTTTTAGCCACTTCTGTATGAGGTGCAGGATCAATACTGGATGTCAATGAGAATATCGACCAATGGCGGCCTTTTAAAAGCCTTGATGAGTTATTAATTGATGTAAAATATGTTTTATATTTCCTAACCTCCATTACTTAGTAGATAACTATTAGGGACAAGGATTTCTATGTATCAATGGAAATTGCGCATTTATTATTAGTAGCTACAATCATTTAAATTTTCATGTTATTCCATTCGAACTGACAAAAAATAAAAGTTTTGCTTGACATAGAATACATGGGTAAATTATACCATGATCATTCGCCATCATTTTGCGAATTGGTTCACTCCAGATGTTCCTAGTAAACGCCAGTTTTTAATAAGCCACGTCCTTTGTTAATTGATATTTCCGCATTCGGATCTCTGCGCCACTAATTAATCCCACAGTTGGTAATTGCAATGTTTATTAATTGTTTTGCACATGTACACCAGAGCCAAGTTCAATTGTTGAATGTTGCTTAATACCCAGTATAGATATAGTGAACAGTTACTAAGACTTGTATTTATATTTTGCTTGATGTGGTTAGCTAAAAATGCACGCTATGACATGTCTCAACGACTTTATGCAATCTTCATAGCCAGTTATTGCAAATATCTGAAATCCTAAATCTGTTTAAGATGAAGATTTACAGTCTGGCGTCCTTATGTCTGCAGGATTTTGAAGTTTATTTAAAATAATTTTTATTTTTGTAGGGAAGGCCAAATAAACAATAAAATAGCGAACTCTAGTTAAAACTATTTAGATGTATCACTAAATATTCGTATCAAAATGATATTAAATTTGTAACAGAAATATTTCAAGGCGTTACTCAACTGAATTATGATAATATTTATATAACACGCATACATAATAGCGTTTATTATTAGAAAATTTGCAATTTAACGCATAAAGAACCCCAAGGTTTTGGTATCAACGTTAGACTGGACGCTTGCCAAATTTCACCAGCCTGTCTGGACATTACAATAATCTCTGTTTATTTTTGTTAACTGTGCTGTTTTAAAATCGCAAATCACTACGATCGAATCGCTATCGTGGTTAAAAGAACCGCTTGTCTCATCACTCGAATCGAAAGATCACTTTTATGTCGGTTGTATATCCACACAATTTATTTCTGCAAATAGTTTTGAGCTCATCTCTTTTTACAAATTGTTAACAATCTTTACCAGTTGTGCTTAAAATAGAAAGAAGAACACAGCTCGGATAGGATTTTGCCGAAATTTGCGATAATTAGTTTGGTGAAGAGTGCATTTCACCTCTTTAACCTTCCATCTTAGCTGGAATTTCATGAGTTATAGACTCCCGTTTATCTATTTTCAACACCTATATAAATCACCAAAACAGTTTTTCGTATTTGAGTTTAATAGAAAACTTTTTGTCTGAATTTCCTTTTATTGTTATAATATTAGAAATCCCTTTTATTGTTATATATTAGTTCTTGTAAAACTTCAGTTGCATCCAACGTGCGAAGAGTTTTAGCATCTGTTGTAACCTCAACAGTTCCATTGAACAGTACTATTTTGATGTTAACTACGCCAGTCAGAACGAGGTCAGCTATTGTGGCCATCTACCATGGCTAACTTGTCAGGGCATGGCGTTCCCACGACGAGGACATGAATGCATGGATTGATGATTAGCATTTAAAATATACCTACTGCCCTACCAATGTAATGTATTGTGACTTCACACACGGGTGTGCGATTAACTTTATTGTGTATTGGGTAATAAAGCGACGACCAAATTAAAAAAAATATTCCGCATCCAAAACGACTTTCTGATTTTTTATATAAATTTTTACAATATACCAAATTATTAAGATTTTGTATGGATATAGGTGTACATACTTATGATCCATTTAGAGCCCCTCATAATTTTAGGCAGTTTAGTCAATTATGTTGAAAGTTTGTTTATCTAATCGATTCGACATAACAATACTATTAGTTTAGCAATAACATTATCAACTTACTTAGCATAACAGAAAGCTGTGCAAGCTCTGACGTCAATGTTTGATCGAATACTCTCTAATGCTTCAACTCAACGGATTGTTTTGGTCTTTATTTCTTCTTATCGCATTGATTTGTTTATATGTAATCCATCTGCTAGTATTTTCTCACCATTGTGGATGTCCAAGTGCATCTGGCACAAATAGTTTTTTTTTTAGAAATTATCATACATTACCTACTTACTATGTAAACGAAAATATTCAGAGTTGGTACATTTACAATTCTTGTTCGATTGTCTTGTCTCCTACAGGCCACGTTATTTGTTATGTATGAATGCGGTACACGGGGACCGACATCCGTTGACGTCCAAGTGTTTTCAGTTAAGCCACGACGAGCGTATAACAAAGCCGTCTTGGAAGAAATAATTTGAATTTGAAAGAGTGTTCAACTGGAGAAAACAATGTCTTAATTTGTTATACTTATCGAGTTCGTATATATCAATGTTGTGTTCAAGTGTGTGTCCAGTGTTATTGGTGTCTGCAAATGACAGGATAATGGATCGCTCACGTCTGGGACTCGGCCATCGTTCGCATTGTAAATGTGGAGTTTCCTGAATATGGAAATAGGTGGAAATGAATGCAAATTACAGTAACGCGATGGACTACTATGAAGGGCTTTCGCAGCGCGGGGTCGGTCCCCATAACATCGCAATAAGGTAACGGGAGAGGTGCGTGTTCAGTCGCCACCCACCGCTGCGCGAGGCGTGGTGGCCGGCGCCACGAACGCCGCTCAGCCAGTCAAATAGTCACCGTCGGTACGGCCGTGTGTATTGAAACCGCACTGGCGCTGGCTGCCAGTGTGCGCCAAAACGCCCGTTAACGCGGCTTACGTTGGCGATTTGCCTCAACTATCTCTTACACGTTTCCTTAAAACCTGTGTCTGTAAAGTGTCTGTGCACGCGTTTCGATGCTCTTCTCTCCTATCGCCGTCGAGGCGATGAAGTGCAAAGAGGAAAACTGCGAAGTCGGCGTGGTGCTAGAACACAACTCCTTGATCGTGCTATCTGTTGACAAGACCATCGTCTGCCTATGCGGAAGGGATCGGAACAATCCCTTCGAGCGCGGGTAATTCTCATCGTTCTGCATTCTGGTACGACGCTAACTGGTTACCACGACCTTACTCCAGTGTACTAACAACTGGTAATAGGATACAACAGTTACCCAACTTTGGTGGTAATACCTGGTACTAAACAGACAGCTGAAATCCTTATCACTCCTTTAATACAGGCATATTCCCAAACCCACAAGTATGATTATAACTTAAAATTCTGCCAATAGTTTTTTTTTCTTAAATACAAAACCAGTTTGCTATCATTATGCCCGAAGGTTTTCTTCGATATGGTCAAGGCAAATTCGATCCTTGCTGTTGGCCACACTCCAGTCTATATTATTATATTATCTGAGTATAATAATATACGTTGTAAAAGTACCGATACTAAAATAACTGGACATTTTAATTTTGTGCCGTTCTGAGATTTCCGTGTTCAGTGATTGGCTATTTTATTCAACGAACACCGTTCTATTTAGAAACTAACAATTCTATTGAGTGAGTCACAATATTGTTACCGGTGAGTGACAAAAACTAGATACTGGAACTATACCTACTTAGTATGTAATGCTATGTTTGGTAAGAATAGTATGATGACCGAAAGACACGTACAAGGTCGTGGCCAAACGTACAATGGCTTCTGTCGAACACACCTCAAACCAACTAAATAACGAAATGCTCATTAATATTCATGTGGAATAATTAAATAGTTCAGCCGAGACGCTGAAAAACAGATATTTAGAGATCATTACATGAATTCACTATCAATACTGAGACTCAAGGCACTTACAATACCACAATGATTTACGATTGTCCGGGCGAGAGGAAGTAGCTACCAAGGTATGCGGAAATGAATGACAAGTAGATAAAACGGAACACATAAAATAGTGTACGTAGAAAACTAATTAGTAAGCACGCTATGTCGTTACAAAAAAGGTTATTCAGAGCGGAGGTTGAGCTATAAAGCATGATAGCCTTACGATCTATATCGGTAACATGTTAACCTACACTGGCTAGGCAGGTGCGAGAGTACAGGTGTTAGACTTTCTTTAAACACAAGAGTAAACTCTATGTATATCAATACGTAAACCCGGACATGCATCCCATAAACAAAACATTGCCAAGAAATATACAAGATCAGAGAAACATTACTGTTATCAAGGTTAGATTAAACACGCTATGAATTGTTTTAATATTCTCAAAATACGAACTGTATAGACTGCCTCGTTAGCCTAGCGATTGTTCATGGTATAACCTTTTAGGTTACTATCAAAAGCAACCAGCTGTGTAGGTACGTAGTCACTGTTTATGGGGGTAGATAAATAACACGAGACAATTATTACTAACTAGGCAAAAAATACCATTTTTGTAGTACACCCCACGTGGTGTTTAGTTCTGAGTGAAAAGAGAGACGGCCATTGTTTTATGAATAAAGAAAGTTGTTGATACTTGAAACCAATTGATTAGCGTTAGTCATGATTTTACGGACGTAGTACATCGTCGACACCATTTTTGACCCTAATAATAATGCGACAAAGCTTTTGCTTTTATGAATGTTAATTCGATTAAGACAATGAAATTTATCCTAATTTGTGTTCAGACAATTCCGTTCTTTGTTAGTTGAAGTCCTATTAAAATGTAGGTACCCCTGTTGACTCCCATCATAAGGTTTGATGTCAATACTAACAAGCGAACGTTGCTAATAACCATTTTATCAATACAATATTGAATGGCTTTTATTGTTCGGCAATCAACTACCTTCAAATGAACATGGGACTGAGAATAAGATGGATATCAGTTTCCTCAGAAAAACAACATTTTATGGTAATATATTCCCAACCACGCAATCGGTGGAAAAACATCGTAAGGAAAATAACAATTTCATAATCATCAGGTGGAAAGGTTATGACGCCAGTCTGTAATATTGTTTAGCCTTAAAACGATGGCACGATCACTACAGATAGCCTCTGATTGACGTAACAAGAGGTCACAAAAAATATTTGGTTACTAAGTAGGTAATTGTCACTATGACTCCATAGTTAGCCACTTATAAACATCGTGTTTGATATGATTTTGATAATACATCTGCGTAAACAGAGACAAAAGAAGTAGTCGCTAACTGAAATATAAGTCGAACCAATTGAAAAATATCAATTTATCTCGCCATGATGAAATACATATTGTCATTGTATCAATATTGGAAAACGTATATCGGTCATTTCAATATGAAACCATTTTTAAGGTCTCTCACTCTCTCAATGAGATATTGACATCCGCCGGATCCTTCTGAAGTTAAAGAAACACTTGAATAAGCAACTACGGTCCTGTTCGTACTAACTGATAATGAAACAGATGACATAGCATGTTGTAGAGTAGACGAAACAGAGGTTGGCACATCGTATGTTATTATTTACGTTTCAATGTCAAACAATTATGCACCGTACGCACTACCATTTAAATCTCAAAGTTAAATACAAGCACAGTCTTTGTGAGCACTATAAACAAAAACTTTGGTTCATTCATGCAAGTGATTATGTTAGGCTGACTATAATGGTACTTATTTTTATGTGTAATATTATGGTACTTGCTTTAGGTTTAGGCAAAAATGATACTTGAAGATTATGACTTATTGTTACAATCATAAATGTATCTATTGGAGTTGGAGATCATTTTTAACCTTTATTCTTTTGAAATAATGCAAACGTCACTGTATTTTTGTTTAACATTTAAATCAACGATATGTATAATGCATACAGCCGTATTTGTTGCACATCCGTTTTGTCCAAAACAAGTTTCTTCAAAGGCGGGTTACCTGCCTAGCAACAGATGTTAAATTCGTAACACGATCAGATTGGTCGTCTTCTACCTCTAAAATTCGATTGTATCACAGAATAATCCACCTTCTTTTGTTCTTCGATAAAACTATCGTATTTTTTCTGTTTTATAACAATATCCTCTAGACGTATCTCAAGGGTAACGACTTATAATGGCTCACTACCTGTGTTTTTTATCCCGCCAAGCACTATTCAAGTCAAAGGCCCGGAGCTTTGCTTAAGTTAGTCGTTGCTAAGGGCATTGCACCTTCACGCTCTCCCTTGCCCTGTAGCCCTACTTTAACTTTTGGAGTTGAAAACTCTCACAGAGAACCTCCCTTACTATCAAGTGAGTGCAAGTGTTGGTAGGAAAGAGATGCAACGTCAGCGTTAACTGCGTCTACTTTATCCACAAGCCCAGCTGTGCGTAAAGTATAAGCTATACTTTACTATGCATATATTTATATTGTGGACTTTGAACTCGTTTAATGGTGAAATGCAGAACTCCCTCTGATTTATTATTATCATTGGGATCGATACGAACATGTTCGATTACTTTTATATCTAAAGCAGTTTTAATGAGGGCGTGTTCAGTGTTTACTTACTTCTCGTATTATCAGTATGTAGCTGGAAGCGAACACTTGTATTGTATACTGTTTAGTACATACCTACTATACTCTTGTAGGTAATTCTTGTTGTTATATACAAGAAAAATAAAAATTATTATGACTATTAAATGCATTATGTAAACGCTTTATTAAAAACGAAAAATATTATTTTTGTTTTATAAACTTGAAACAGGTCCAGAAAGACGCAAGAAAAATTAATCACCACACACTCATAATTGCCACTTTTTACTCACAGTCGTCGTATATTTTTGTTGTGGTTTTATCCGTATTTTTTAAAGTCAGTATACTCAATAGATATTTTATGTATATTTTATACAGAATAAGATGTCGTTAATCGGGACAAACCAAACGGTCGGGCCTTCTGGTGCGTCATAACCACTACGATACGATAGCGTCGGGCGCCGCCACGCCACCATTCGTAGTTTTTCGCGGAAAACGGTCATATCGTCGACCGTCCCCCACTTCCCCCTTCTGCCCGCGCTGGCGCCGCGTCATGCACGCGTCTATAAAACCCATGCGCGCCCCTCCACTTCAACTCAGACGCATGGAGTACTCCGTAGAGGTCGTTTGGCACGAGCGAGCGCTTTGCTAGGCACCTGCCGGCCACACTTCACGATAATAATTCTAGTCACCAACCGCGCAGCTGAAGCTCGCGTAACGCGGTCTGCCGCGCGTTCCTACGAACAGTGATATGTGCAATAGCCTAATTACAACAAAATAATTGTGATAATTTATTTAAAATTAGTTTTAGTAATACGCGTCAATTAGACCGCGATACGGCTGTGAGTTGAGTGAAAACTGTGAAATTGAAATGTTGTGACTGCCCGACTGGAACTTGTTACCTGTGATTCAACCCAGTGTGATTAGTTATTCTTGCGTCGAAGGACCATTTGCAACAATGGTTGGAAACAACGGTACTATGATGGCGATTCGCATCGTCCACAGCAAGCTACGCAAGCGAGAGGAGCATTCGGCTTCGGTGCACCCAGCTGAAGTCCTTCAGGCTGCGCCTGCAACTCAGCCGGAGCCACTCGCCTTCCGCCAGCAACCGCTGTGGCAGTTCCCGCCGCCGCTGCCCCCGCCTTACGTCTATCCTCACGATCAGGTGTGTACACTACTTCACAACTTCATCACAAACAATAACACACTCATGCCAACTGACTATTTCAAGAATTGAAACCAGTTCCAGCCGTTATACTTGACCCCAATACTGATTTAACGAGCTTCAATGTCCAGCTGCAATGCATTCCAATTTATTCATAAAACTTTGTTCGCCTCGACAACAAACAAACAATATTGAAAGTTGCAAGTTGGGAAAGAAACGTTACATTATAATACGAAAGAAATCGTGACTGGTTCGACCCTCCCCGCCACTGAGAGAGAGAGAGTTGGTAGAACCACGTAGACACGATATCTAAGTGCGAAATAAATTTAAATGTCGGGACACGCTCGTTGAATAGAAAGCTGCACAAGGCGAGCATGTCGTAACGCTCCGACCTTCTTTCTTGCTGTCTGACGAACAAAAGAGGCTAATGCAAACTTCTGTATTAAATTTTAACTAGTTAAAACACTGACCCCAATATCACGGTCTGATAACCATTTCCCGAGGCGAGCCTTACCTGAGAAACGGCCCATTGATTTGTTATATCGAATCGTACACTATGTTTGTACAACGACTGCATGACCACATATCAAGCAAGACGGCACACCAGGAAGTAGATAATGCTAATGTGTCTTTGAATAGTGTATTCAAGGCTTGCCTCATTCTTGTTCGGCCTCAACATTACTTCTACTTTGAAATATAAGCTTCCTAGTCATGCAACAGAACTTATTCTCAACTTAACCAACTTGAACCTACGTTGATCGTAGAGGTAGATCCTATAAATAAACTGAGAAAATATCTTTCCAAAAACGTTTCCTTCAAAACATAATAGAACAAGCTTCTTTTATTTTCTCGCCTGGCAACAGTTTAAAATAGCGGCAAAGTAGTTGTATAACGATTTAAATTATTGTATGCGGGGCAAAATAAATGTAGTTGAATGCATTGGGGTCGGTAACGGAACATAATCCTGGTAACGATTTTAGGGTCATAAACCTTTTTGAAGTACCGAACGTGTCTCGACATTGGTTTACTGAGACTCATGGTTATTTTTCTATTGTTTACAGGACAATCTCATGCAGCCGCACGGTAACGAGCGTGCGAGTTTCCGCAGTCTTCGCAAGAACATCGGTGGTCGTTGGAAGCGACTAGTGAAAAAGAAGCCTGAACAGGAAGTTTACACGATCCCGCCAGAGCTCAAGCCACAGCTCAAACAAATATACGTGTATTAAGCACACGGACTAGTAATTATAGCTGAAGCAGGATACTTCGTGGCGTTGATCTAAAGGCGATGACATCAACCTCAACTCGACGGTTGTAAAACATCAAGTTATATCATTACTCGAATATCAAAATTGTAAACCTGCACGGCTCGACAGCCTCTAATTCTGAACATATCCTTTCGACCAATTAATTCTAATGACCAATGTTACTAAAATATTTTCTTTTCATTCACCACTTCATTGTGATTTTAAAGCCTAGAAATTGTATTATTAAGTATTAGAATTTGATGTTTGTGAGTGTTGTTCCGTTGCAGATCGTATGAGAGTGATAGTCAAATGAATTTAGTTTAATTAATTTAAAGCTATGAATGTGAATTAGGAAGATGCGGTCGCGCATACTAGTGACGAAAATCCAATAATTATGAATAAACAATTATGATGCCTTGTTAAATGTAATTTTTGACTAAGTAGGGCATTTCGTAGTTCATTAACTTATTGTAGACATGATCGTATTCGTAAGTGAACTCCGATCAAAATAGTTTATGAACTTATACATAACTACTGTATGTATATTGTGTGAGAGCTGAGGTTTAAACATCTTATTGTTTGATGCAGTATTTTTAGATCATTCATTTTGTGTTGCGAGTGAGACTGAATAATGGTACAATTTTAAGTGTAACGTGACATTGAAATTTTCGAATAAAATACAAATATTTTCTGATATTATTGACTATAAGTATCAAATATCAAACAATATCACGATGGAATATCAAATGACCTAGTTGTTGAATGTTGAGTTGCTCGAATTGCTTTTGTAGTATAATTATTCAGATTTTCGCCCGGTCCTTACTGTGATATAAGTAATTAAAATGAAGGAATAAAGAAGTTATTGACAGAATGATGTAGTTTTAACTTGATTGCCTTAATACCTTGTCAATTAAAGTCTAGCAAGGGCCGACGGTCGAGAATTTTGATAGCTCATATTGAGCCTGATATTTGATGAAGTAAGTTGATAGTTAATAGGTAGAATTGAGCCATGAATATATTTTCTTTCATTAAATTAACAGTTGCTGTAGAAGAACCATGTTATAAATGTAATTTTAACATCGTGAGAAGTTTTTTGTTTTGAAAAAATGTAATCTTTCGTTGAAATATTGGAAAATAAATTCCATCATTATACTGAACTTTTGTTTCCTTATTTACAACCTTCCTTGTTTATTACGATTGCTGTTAAAGCATGTCTCATAATCTTGCAATATGCTCCCGATGAAATTGAGGTTATGTTTGATACAAAACATAACGGTTTTCTTCGGCTTTCTGAATAAAAACAAACATTATTATATAAACAAACAGTTAATTTAAAATTGATCTCTTACGTCCTGATTTTATACTTACAGTTTACAGTCAAAAATTAACATTGCAACATGAGATTTAGTATTTTAAGGTTAGGTTGGTTAAAGAAAGCAATTTAGCGCCATCTAGGAAGATTTCGAAAAAGTTAATACTGCAGTGCCATCTATCAACTCGATTTGGTTAAAATTTTGACAGCGCCATCTAGTGAAATACTATGAAACTGTGTAGTCAGCTACTTAGTAAGGCCATGTACACATTTTTTATAAATAATAACAGCGAGTTACACCAAGCAGTGTATGCAAATGGTCACAGATGGCGCTTTTATTAAATAAGTGACATTTTTTTTAGATTAGAAGTCTGAATAATATTCTAGTCCCTGTCCATAGTAATCTGCTGTCATGCAACATAACAATTTTTTTTCTTCTTTGGCAACCGAGTCTCCAAAATGGTGTAGTCGACTATACTGCCAGTGTCGAGTGGTGACGGCAAAATTATTGGACCGTCGAACTTAACTTTGCGGTAGTTTTTAGTTGTTATTAGCTGAAAGGACAAAACAATTGCGTTAGGAAACATAAATATTATCAACTACTTTATTGTATATATACAGTGGTGTAAAAAATAGTTGGGGGACATACACAATATAGACAGATATTAATAAAAAAATAACAATTTAAAGTAAAACAAATGACGTCCCAGTGTCAAACTTCAGTGCCAACACACCTTGAAGGAACAGAGGTTCAATTTAATACCGACTTTAACGAGTCCTATGTTAATTAAAAACGAGCATGTTACAATTATGGACTTATGGAATGGAAATTAGTGTTATTTTATTCAAAGATACTACGGGTTGAATCCAAGACGTATGTGTCTAAAAATGTTTAGCATAGTAAAAAACATATGGGACATGTTAATCGAAACTGAATTATCACATGAGATGCACTTTGAGAACATAAACGGGATAATGATAGGGTATGAAAATGAAAATCTAATTAGTCCGTCATTTAGGTAATGAAAAAATATTAGACACGTATTTTTTATTTTGTTGTATAAGAAAATGATTCTTAAATAATTATAACGAATCAAGTTTAGAAATGGGGGCTAAAACATCGTTTCTACGTATAAAATGTACATAGAAGTCACGCGACATTTCAAATCAATATATCGTCGAAAGTATTCGTTTCTGTAATAAAATAAAAAATACGTATGTAATGTTTTAAAATAATTTACCAGACGGACATTCAAATAAAAATTGGTCATCTACCCTATTATCACATGATGGGAGTGTTAAAATTATTTAACTAAAACTAATGAATTAATTGATACTTTTTGGCATATAAAAATATGATAAAATTACATATATGAAGTACTAGATAAGCAGTGCACACAAACCTACCACAGCTACCTAATTACTGTTTTGAAGCAGCCAAATGTAGTCTACTTAAATATAAATGAGTGAGTAGGTGCACCTTCCCTTTTCGACACTAAAAGGCTTTGTAAATAATTAACCCGTTCGGTTAAAATGGAGCCGAGACCAACGCCCGCATGATGTCGGTCTCGACCCTAAACCGCTAACCTTTGAGAGATTAGTTTGTATAGGAAATTATCTTCTTTGTGTCATTATGAGGAGATGAAGGCATTCTGTACGGATGTTACAACTATTATAGCACCAACGGTTGATAACATGGGTTCTGATAATTCTGTTGTTGTTAGTTTATCTGATGTTGCCTAGCTTTTGTGCCTATCGTTAATTATTCCTATAGTCGGAAGACTTAATTAAACCTGTGTTTGTGTACGAAAATGTACAACGTGGGGTCAACAAAGATATAAATATAGTAGAAGAGATGATAATATGACGTTAAGAAAAAGTCACAAGTAGATATACACACGACACGATCTATACAACTATCTAAACAACTAATCCTCAAAATTAAACGCCCTAACAAAACCAATGCCGATAACGCACGGTTGCGGATCTAAAACACCGGAAAAATGCTAAGATAAAAAGAATACCGACCTATAAAACTGACCCTTCGTATTCGAAATTAAATTCCACATCTTCCAAACACGAAATCTTAAAACTCCATTACTAACGATCTATCGGCAGTGGATGCGATTACGAACGTCTAGCGGTAGTAGCGGACCTCTCGACGCCGACGGTTGGTTGCCCGAGGGCATCACGTGACGTCGTCCTTTGTTGTTACTTAAATAAGCCTCATTGTGTGTAAGAGGGCCGCACGCCCTCATTATAACCGGAGAGAGACGTGCCAATCTATCGGACTACATTTTGAAAGCTTAAGCATGATTTGGACCGTATCTGCGGTTGAGCGGAAGTTTGTACTTATTGAAGCCTTTTTGTTCTTGTTCGAATTTTTGGAATTTGCTTTTTTTTTGGAGAAGGAGGATTTCTTAGATGTCTTAAGACAATCATTAACTGTTTAGACTACAATTTCAGCAAATCTTTTTCTATGCATTTAAAGTGATAAACTCAAAGGTTAAGTTTAAACCAGAACAGACTTTGGTTTATTAGTTGATATTCGAACCAGCAATCTCAAAAAGTTTTCGTTTCCTCTCAATTCTTTTTTCACTTCATCTTCCCTAGATTCCATAATAATATCACCATCGTTTTTCAGTCAATAGGTATCTTCCATATTTTCCATTTTTCATACAATGTTGCCTGAAATTTACAAAATACATTGTAAAAATTGTATTTCAAGAAGTCTTAAAAATATTGCTGAACACCATTTGGTTTTTACGGTCACCGTGGTAATTGATCTGCTGTGAAATGTCAGTCTATGCTATTGATGAAAATGATGCGTAAAATAACGTAAGGATATCAATCCCTCAATCTGATTCTCTGTACGTACTTTGTTTGAAACATTGTTTTTACACTCCTCGAGTGCGGAAGTTGACTGAAGAGGACGCATCACTTTTAGCGTGTGCCATCTTTTGTTTTAAACATCAAACGATTCCACAGAGTTGTTTTTATATTTTACGATGGTGAAATCTTAAAAATCGATTTTTCTTTTATTTTTCCATGTTATCATGTCCGAAGAAAAGCCAGAGTAAGAGGTTAATGCTAAAGTAAAATACTCTCAACAATGCAAAGCTCATTATATAAACACTTAACCGTCAACAGAGTACGGCAACAGGAAAAAGACTTGTTTTTCTTTTCACAAAAAGTCAAATCAATAAAACCATTGACTGAAGTCCAGCATTTAATTTGGATTTGATTAGTTCCCACCCCAGGAAAAACCAACAAAAATTCATGAATAAATATGAAAGGCCGTTATCACAAGTAAACAACGGTTCGGGCGGAAACCTTAACAAAAACGAATTTCTTTGAGAGCCGCTACTAAAACGAGGCGACCTAATTTCTCTTAACAAGTTTGTTTTAATCCATTTACTAGAGTACTAAATTGTGGGGACAATCGAATATAAAAGTTGACTAATGTATAGTTTGGCAAGTCAAATTGATTTAGTGTAAGTGATGAATGTTTTATTGATTTTGTTGAATGTAAGCGGTGTACTCAGTTAAGGAAATAAGCTGGGAAACTATGTCCTCGAACAATGGTTGGTTTAATTCAAAAACATTTGAAACGCTGAATACTGAGTCTGAGATATTGAGTATTTGCTAGATTGTTTTGTTCTATGTATGTAATTTGCCATTTACTGGATAACAAATAATAAAATAAACTACTACATATATTGTTACATGTATTATCATCCTGGTCATACTTACTAAAGTAGTGTGGGCACTACATTATCATTACATAGGATAAAAAAGTCGCTATCCGCCGTCTGTCTGTCCCTATGTATGATTAGATCTTTGAAACTACGCAATGGATTTTGATGCGTTTCTTTTAAATAGATAGAGTGATTCTTAAAGAAGGTTTATATGTTTAATACATGCATATTGCACCCGTACGAAGCCGGGGCGGGTCACTAGTACTATATAAGATCAACAGACGGCAAGGAGTGCGCTGTCAATCTGTCATACTTTGGCGTGCATTCACATCGTGTGCTCTGTACGTAATTTATATTGAAATTAATACAAGTAAAACCAATCCACGTCTAAGTCAATAATCCACCAGCACAACATATATTATTATGACAATAGGTGCTCATATACATACATGTACTTCTATATACTCTTTCTAATAAAAAGAAAATAGTTGATTAAAGAGAATTTCTACTATCCACAAACGATTCACACTGTAACAATAAGCCACGTTGGATGCTATTCAGATGTTAAAATTAAAAGCATAAATCCACGTGAGACGTTGAAGTACAGTATAATTATGGTAGCTATTTGTAATTCATGGGCAGGCTGGCCTCCTGAGCCATTACGTGAGTCCCCTCTACCGCACAATGAGTACAAGTATGCGGTAACATATTATGCTGATGTAAGTACTTACATGATACTGGATACGGCATTTTGTTTGACCCATATATGGAAAATCAGCGGTCAAGACGTTTACTGGTGTTTGTGAGTAGTACTGCCATTATTTTCCAGTCGTGCACAGCAAAACTGTGAAATGACCTATC